TTATTATTATTATTATTATTATTATTATTATTATTGTAAAATTAATGATATTCATGACTATCATAGCACACTTAAGTGTGTCAAATGCCATGCAGTAAGCACTGGGATCAATGTGCTGTTTCAACACACTTGACGTGTAATAATAGCACAGCTCTAATAGTGTGTTAAAGTAACACATGTGTAATGTGCTAAAATCTGGGACATCGATATGACATATCTTTATGTGCTAAAATAACACATCATTTTTTTGTGTGCATAAAGCTGTAGTGACCAAATGGGGAGAGCTTGACCTTCGTATTTGTAAATATTGATTTATTGTAAAAAGGCTAAAATCTCTTCTGACAAAAATGAAAAGAGCATATACAAACAGTATCACATCATATTACATCACAATGACAAAACATTACATGACAATCAGAATCAATATACATGAACTAATAAGCATATAGTAAATCATAAGCATAAGAGCTACAAGAAAAGAAATAATATCGTACAGCAATGCAAGAATAATAATAATTGTAATAATAATAGTAGTAGTAGTAATAATCAGAATAACAATAATAATAATACTAGAAATAACTGTAATCAAAATACCTTAGGAAATAATAATAGGAATGAATACCAAAATAATATATCAATATTATAACAAAAGCTCTCTCACAAGTTAATTTTGGCTATAAAATTATGTAAAAAGTAACAGTCTATTCATGCATGCTTGTTGTAACCTCAATTGACTTTATAGTTGAGCAAATAAAGTTTCTACTGAATAAACAATTTCTAAAAATTATACAGTTATAAATTAAATACTGTATAAAATAACATACTCATCAGATTTAGTACAATCTATTATTGGATAGTGACCAAGAAAGTACTGTTTTCCCCAATGTGAGCTTATTCCATAAAGTATTTCCTCTGTATCTTTAACAGGGGGAGGTGAATTGACATAGTCTGGAATAAGAACTTCTGAAATATCTATAGCTCCTATGTCTACTACAGAGTTTCATAATTAAATAATACTAACTAATATTATCATACTACTGAATTGTCTGTTTATTCCATGTCCAGAAATGAGTGGACACGGATTAGTATACAAAGCAATTTTCTCCGTATATTATTAAATTCATTTATACAGGGCAGCAATGGGCTTATCCTATATCTCTCCTTACAAGACAAACTATCAAAATGTGAGCATATGTGGCTGTTCCTAAACATTATACTGGTGTTCTTGCTGAGTTTCATCTAGATTGGAGAAACTTTGTGTGGAACATTTCCTGTTTGATTGAGGGGTAGTCAGATTCAGACGTCGCCATTTT